AATTTTAATTAACATTAAATTTGTTGAAGCTAATTAATCCAGTGAACTATACATAATGTAATGCTGGAGCTGTTTATCAACTGGTGGAACTGAAGCATGCTCGCCCATATTTAATATTTTTTTTTTTAACCTTGAACTTTGGAATTATACTAGGACTTTTTAGGTCACCAACAATTAATAGAAAGGATGCTATATTACATTTCTGCTATTAAAGTTGTTTTTGTACTCCTAGATAGACGATCTTCCTCCCTGTGTGTCGAGGGATATTTTATATAAAGTATTTAAAATTTAATATCTCTACAATAGTTAATTAAAGGATATGGTATACATTTAATGACAGATATAATAGAAAATAGATTTATGTTCCAAATTTTAAAAAACCTCATTAGTTCAAAAAAATAAAAACCTTGTTAGAACTATATATTTACCTTAATTAATTTATTATCAATACTTGGTACGATAATTGTTTACAGTATACTTGGAATTTTAGTAATTAATATTTTAATTATTCACCTATTTACCGTTAGCTTGAAAAATTTAAAAACTGGACTTGGTGAGTTTTATTTTTAATCACCTCAATTGATATAATCTGCTTAAATATGATACGAAATTATAATAATACATACATAATATATTATTATCCCGTAGTATAATACTATCTACTATAAACGAGCTCATGCAAATAATTCTTTTTTATATTGTAAAAAGTGTGAAAGGAGAAATGCAATCAAAGATGGCGACTGTAGTAGTAAAGCTGGCTGGGAAGGGGATAAATGAACCCTGACCTTAAAGACAGTCGCATACCTCCGCCCTTCCTTTAACCACCAACCAATAATACAATCTAACAATTAAATACCATAGTTATTTTATTGTTTATTAATTTTAATTTTATATTTATTTATTTATTTTAAATATCTTCTTTCAAGACATATTAATAAAGTCAAGTATGATTAATATTCCCAGTTGAATACACTAGCGGATCCAGCATTTAATTTTTGAGGGAGCTTCAGCCCGCTTTATATATATATATATATATATATATATATATATACATTGGCTTTTATATATATATATAAAAGCCAATATCCTCCAAATATTTAACACTTTTTTTTTCACTTAATTAAAAAAATTTGTTTGAAAAAATGGTGAATTGTATTCTTCAAACATTGATTAGTTTTTATAAACTTCTGGCTTTAGGTTGAAATCTTCCAAAAATGCATAAATGGTTATTATTTTTTGTTGAAGATTGGATTTCACTTCGATTATGTTTATACATTGAAGCCAGTAACCGAGTACTCTTGGAGCCTGAAACTTTCTCTATATGTGCAAAAGAAAATAATTTTAAATTTAAATATTTATATTATAAGTACATTTTTTCAGACCAACATATATATATATATATATATATATATATATATATATATATTACGAAGAAATGTACTTATAACATAAATATATGCAACTAAACTTCCCAGATAGTAACGCTGGTTGTTCTAAGCGATGCTCAATGATAATTATGGTTGAATGATGAGGGAATGTGATATCGCAAGTATTATTTACATATCAACCTTCATGAACATAAAATGGGATAAGATTTCAGACATTTATTTATCGATTATTATTAATTCGAATGAATTACTTAGTGGTTTCTCCTTAATATATATGGTAAATTTACAAAAATTGAAATTAAATAAGTAAATTAAACATTTTAACAAAATAAAACATTAAATGACCTATGTTGATTTAAAAAAAATAATAAAAAACGTAATGCTCAATTTGATATTTATTTAGTATTAAATGACAAAGATGAACTCAAGCGATTTGTTTTACATCTCACTTTCTGTTTTTTTAATAAAACTTTCCTTTTTTTTAAGTTAGGAAATGAATAATCCCACCAAATCGCTGAATATATATTTTTAATTAATATTTAATAAACTATCAAAGAGAAATAAGAGGGTTTTATAAATTCGAAAATTTCCAGTATATTTTCGTTTGAATTGAAAAAAAAAAAAATTTATAATTGAATAATTGATATTTTTGTGGGCTCAAATGTAATAGATCCATCAAAAATTACTTTAATAATTAGCTAATCTTTCATTACTAGAGAAAGTAACAGCTTCTTGATTTACACTTTCTCTGAAAAACTAGTATTTATCATTACTTATTTGAACGACACTTAAGAATTCATTCCTATTAATGATTGATACCAAAGTTAAAAAACCGATCATAATATTTCTAAAATTATTGATAAGGTAACTGATTAAGTTGATCACTTCGATATGTCACAGTAAGTGAGATATAAACAAAAAAAAAAAAAAATGAAAGGAATTTACAATTTTTAATTATAATAATTAACCAATTAAATATATATACCCCTTCATATTAAATAAAAAACGTAAAACTGAATTGTTTTTTAGATTTCTTTACAAAGCAGAATGCTTACTCAATATAAAATCATATTTAATTGTAAAATATTTTAATCAACATGTGGATCTCAATAGTTTAGTTGAGTAATTATAGCAATTATTCGACATTAATTTAATTATTTGTTTAATTTTTAATGAGTTCATATAGCAAAAACTATCTATAGTTTAAAAATATATTTTTTCGGCTTAGGTTCATCTTATGGGAAAAACAAAACAAAGTCTGTTCACACTATCAAAGCAGATAACACAAACTTCTCGAATTCTTATCCAATCAGAATTATTTGTGATACAGCTATAGTCATAATTATAAAAATAAATAAGTGCAACAAAAACATAAATGCACTTCCCTTTTTATTTTGATTCTATAATATAATTTTTTTTTTTATAACATTACTTTTTTAATGATTTATTAAGTTAATTGCTGAATTCGTTGTTTTGGTATATTTAGCCATCATATACGATTTTCTAGTAGCTTCATCAGTTTTGTATCGCATTTGTTAAAAAATGTTTCCCTCATATTCCCAACGCCATATTCATAAATTCCTGTTTCTAAAACCCAAACGGTTTGCAAGATGAAAAGGATCACTCTTGCTCCAATGTTTGTAGTATCCTACTGTGCCGAGACATCCATTATATCCTATCTTTTCAAGTTATCTAAAACCATCTTTACTGAATATTATCTCATTTTCGACAGATAGTTTGTAGTGCTGTTTTATCCAACAATCTTTTTTCAATGCCGTGTATTTTTAATGAAGGATAATTTGGAGGAGGTTTCTTCAACTTTCACCCAGAGAGAGGCCACTGGATCGGCTCCTTTCTCTAACCAGGTCGTCGCAACTGTTAAAACAACCGTCTTTTAACCCAGTTGATAACTCATGTTGAAACATGTCAAGAAAAATAACAGTGACTGCAGTCTAACGTGCATCCCCCACCGTTTCATTGATATGTAGTTCGTTACAGTCTACTCTGCACCCCACTGTCAACGGATCTTAATACAAAAAAAAAACAACTGTTACAAATCTTACATTACCTTAAACCCACGGAAATAACACCAGATCGGGGCTAGTTTGAATGGAATGTATAGTTTCAACTCAATAGTTCGCTATTATGAATATTATATTGAAAATCATAAAAAATGAAAAAAATTATCTTCATGTATGCATATATATATATTAAATTCAATTTATATGGTACATAATTTATTTTGACAAAAGTATTCTGTCTTATTGCTGCGATATACCTCCCTTGATATTGCTAAAAATGTGTATTAAATAACAAATTAAAAAAAAAAAAAGAGGAATTTTAATTGTTAATGTAAAGATATTATAAGAACATGTCAAATCAAACCTATACACAAAATGATAACAACTGGATCTGTTTCAAATCAATCCCAAATCATAAATACCAGTTAATATATTAGTTAAACATTTTTACTACATTCGCTAGTAAATCAAAAATTGGTATTACGCACTGTTTCATTGATTTTGATCCAGTTACAAATTCATTTATCTGGTTTCATCAAGTTACAAAACGATTTATCTCCAGTACCACTTGTAATTTCAAAATTAAAAAAAATAAAATAAAAGTGAAGTTGAATATTTTGGGTTAAATCAATCAGGTTTAGAAAGTTGATACACATCATTTTATTTTATTTTCATCAACGTTATATTATATATGATTGATTTAACATAAAACCATAAAATTATTTTTAAAAATAAAATCATTTCTACAGATTTAAAACAATATTATTACTTGTTCGTTTTAATTAGTTGTACCATTACCTGTTGAATTAACTTGCTTTTGCTAACTTACTCCTTACATTTTTATTTGATTTTTAGTTTTTTATATATTTTTTCAATGACATTTTTAGCAGTCAAGATATTGACTTGAAAATGATAACACGAAAAGTTCACTAGAAAACTATTACAAAGAAAAACTTAATTGCATCAAATTATGTTTTGTTATTTTTTCCTAATCAATCCTATGAGTTGATCGTTCATATTTTATTCAAACATTTTAACACTTCTTAGTCACTGAACCGTTTTTGTACTTATAAACTTTTTTTAGCAAAAAAAAAAGACTGGAATTCGTGCAGCGAAGAACCGGCTTAGTACCGATCACAGGCAGTAATTGTTGAAATGGTTCATTGAAAAAAACAAAACCAGACGATTCCACATTAATTTACTAATCCACTGTATTTTGAATATTTAAATTACATGTTGTATGACCTGACAGAACGTTTCTAAATGCTGAAAAAAATATTTTCTAAAATTTATTACAGTATGCCTTGGAATTCTAAAAAAAATAATTATTTCATAAATTATGTCTTTAAAAATGAAAAATACACTCTCGGAAGTTTTTGTATTTAGAAACTAATACATTTTTTATTCAAATTAAAAACACATTTTTTAGAAATATTCAATTACTGACTTCCACTCATTTCATTCATTATTAACAAAACGTTTCTATGAAAGAATGAATGGGAAACTGAGCCTATATTGTTATGAAAGGATAGATGCCCGCTATTCTTATAGATTTTAAATGTTAGTTCACATTGTGGAAGATTATACTCACGCAAGAGATGCACAAGAGACAGAAGGAAGAGAACGTAGGGAACCTTCATGTCGAATGGGCGCTGGTGCGAGACTGGTTCGTCAGCTAGGCCGCAGTCTGCACTTCTTCCAGGCTCGGCTATACTCGGCCTTTATCGGTTATTCTCGTACCACGACCCCAATGTTAACCAGGGTGATTAATTCCCAGCACAAACAAAAACAAAAATAGTTTATATATTTAGTAGTTTATAAAACTAGACAATAAAAAAGTTACAACAATTATAAACCATGTTAAGTTTACAAAAAAAAAGTTATTGTCCTAAATCCGAGTCGAAATTTTGTGACTTAGGTATTTAAAGAAACCTTTCAGCCACATTCCGTTATAATCCCTTAGCATTCAATTTGCACGTATATATACATACCTTCAATAATATATCATAAATTATAATAAATAATAGTCACCAAGATTCTGCAAAATTCGACATACTTATTTCTAATCTGTATGTTATAATAAAAATAAGTAAGTAATAAGTAATAAGCAAGTAGCAGGTAATAAGTATATATTAATAATAATAATAATAATAATAATAAGTAGTGGCGCTAAATAATTATAATTTCCAATTGATTAATAATAGAGCTGAATATCACTAAAACCATTTCTACTATCCCCTTTTTGATTTTTTTTTTTTTTAATTTTTAACCCATCGATATATTTTTAATATTTGTATTATTAGCGGTTGATTATTTTTTTGCATACCTTCCTCCTTCTATTTTTCTCTTTGATTTTTTGTATTTTACATTTTTTACCATATACAATGATGTATGGTACTGATATTAAAAATATCAATTTACCATTGCCAGAACCAAATGCTCAAGAATTGGATTATTTGAAGACGATTTGTTTCAAATCACCATGAAAATGCACATCATCCCGATACCAAAATAAAAACGTTGTCTGCTGAAATAGAGGAGGGGGTGGGGTTGACTTTCACCGACACACAATTTTTTTTTTTTAGCTTGTTTATTGAAAAATATTACATAATAGTATTCATTTATTATAGTGTTCAGAGATCACATAGAAAATTAAAATTCACTTTATTTTCCACCCGATAGTGCACTTTTGCAAATAAAAAAAAAAAGTTCTTTCCTACTTACATAGTTATAGTAGAATAATTTTTAGTGTATCCAATCAGTATCAACTTTTGCTCTGATAAAGTTCTTTGCTCTCAATAGTTCAAGAGAAACGGTCTTACAAAAAATGTTTTTGGAATGTAGAAAAATACACTTAGTTCTTTCATTTATTTTTTTTATTTGACTGTCGTACTGATATTAAAAATATATTTGTGGCTTAAAAAGTAAAATAAAATAAAAAAGAGGATAGTAGAAATTGTTTTTAGTGATATTCAGCTCTATTATTAATCAATTAGAAACGATAATTATTTTGTTCTACTTTTTATGACACAAATATATTTTTAATATCAATAAGACAATAAATGAATGATTGGAAAAAATAAATTTAAAAGAACAACGAGATCCAATTGGATGGATACAGATTAGAAATATGTATGTAGATTTTTGCAGAATCTTGGTGACAATTATGAATTGTAATGTATAATGTATGATGAATCGTTGGAGGTATTTATGTATATGTTAATGTTTTAGATGAATATGGTGCAATACACTTATAGCTTCTTGTAACAATAAAATAATTTAGAGTGAAATTAAGGGCATTTTGCTATATTTCAAGAATAATATATACATTTAACCTTTTATAAAAAGCTTTCTTTTTTTACACGAAAACGTCACCATTTTGTGATTTTATTTTGGCAGATATTATGGGAACTGCTAAAATGAAAATAATTATTATAAACCACTCATAGTAATAGTAGTTTCTATGATAATTGCTAAAATAAAATGGTGATTCCCCGTGTTAAAAAAAATGCATGTTTTTGAAATGCATCTTCAAATTTAAGTAATTTTACATATTTTGTTCTTTCTCCCTTCAATAAGCTTCATTTTGAAACGTCCACGTTTTGAGTTGCCTAGCTAGTACAAACCACGGGCGGATCTACGGGGGGGGGGCTTTCGGACTGAAGCCCCCTCCCCAAAATTGTAAAATATATCCATGTTTTATCGAAACAAATGTTAAAAAATTATCTCTTAAAGTATAATTATTCGTGTAATTACATTTAAAAGGGCTTTAGGAGTCACTTAAACACCAGTTCAAATAGGTAGTTAGTTTCTTTCTTATTTTCCAAAGTAATTATCGTTATTTTTATAAAAAAAAAGCTTTCGGGCTGAAGCCTCCCCCCCCCCAAAATTAAATTCTGGATCCGCTAGTGGTACAAACTGAATGTTGAGGGTGGATACAACAAAGGTATACGATTAAAAGTATTCTTCAGATAAGGCACAACAATTTCTTTGGGCGTTTGGAATATTATGAAAATAAAAATTAGCTTTCAGATGATCAAAAAAATTGCAGTAGTAGGTAGTAAAGGAGGATATGATAAATATTTTCGAATTTCCAACTATACTAAATCATCGAATTGTTTTTCAGTATAACTGATGCATCTAGGATTGCAGAATTGTTGGAACATTAAATTTATTAGGTAATATTATGCTATTTTATATTGTTTTAAATGTTTAAGTTAGTGAGATGCTGTCAGGCGATATGGTATCGCAGTTGCATAAGATAGTATGAAACTAGACGTTCAAATTATTGATGTTTTAAATGGAAAGACTAAAAACTAAATCAGGAATCAGTTTTAAATCAGGAATTAATTTAAAAAAAAAATTAAAAATAGCGGATGTGATATCTTACCTTATTATTATATACATCAAGATAATTTGGGGCTGAAAAGATGGTTATGAGAGAGGGAAAACCTGTAGTCTGACTCTTTCTATACATTCGATACCTGAAAGTATAAATTCTCATCAAATTACCAAATAATAAATGGAGAGATGAACATGGTTGGTGCCCAGGGCACCTAAAGCTCCTCAAATTAAATATGAATAAAAAAAAAATTAAAAAGTGACTGTCGGGTGGTATGTAACTTGAACATTTCAAATAATAAACTTATTAAAGAGAAAATCAAATAAAACAATAATTCTTTTTTTTTTCATATACCGATGTCGTTGGTCATTCGACCATCCGACATCTTGCTGCCCAGTATAAGTTTGATTTTTTTATATATTCATTTACAAATGTTTTATTTCTTATGGGAGATTGTGTTAATATTCATTAAATAAATAATTATAATTTGAAAATCAATCTATTTTCTCCCTCACGCTGTCTCTTACCAATAGGTATGCAACAATATTCGTAAGAGACAACGGATGTCATTGTTGTTTCGTGATGGATCGTTTGAGCCATATGTACCTCCCTTCTTAACCTGCTTGCCTTCATATGATGAGATATATAGCTTGGCAAGATCCTACAAGCAGTTATTTATTAGCCCTTCTCTTACGTATGCTAGTGGTACACCCCCAGACCGTTCTTCAATACATACTTCAGTACCTCAATGGATATAGTGCTGGTTTTTGTCCAGGCTTCACAACGGTAACAAAACTGACTTTGTCAAACATTGCACACCCTTCATTTGAGATTTCAAGAGGTTTTTTAGGATTTCAATTCCTTCGAAAGGGAGAAGAATGCTCTGTTTGCACATGTTATATTCTGGCCTATTTCTATCTCTTGGTTATTTTTTAAGATTATTATGGAGCCGAGGTATTAAGAAGAGCTATTTTCAAGCACCTATTTTAGGATGAAGATACGGTCTGCTTATTCTTCTTATGAATCTAGGCCTGTGATTTTTTCGTAATACTCGTATGTGTTTACCCGATGTAGCGTAATTGAATATTATCTTTAGGCCTGAAAGTAAGGAGGGGACCAGAGGGAGTTGCAGTCCCTTAGCCCGGCCTGGCCTACAAGGTTTTATTATTTAACTTCCAAATTTAAATTTAAATAAAATATAATCTTGAAGAATGGTGTCGAAACTGCAGGATTAAAATAAATTCTAATAAATCCCATTAAATCACCTTTACTCTTCGCCGTAAACCTATGACCTCCTGTCCTACAATATCATTTAATAATAACCCACTTATCCCTGTTGAACAAATCCGATACCTTGCACTTAACTTGGACAAACCTCTAACTTGGAATCCTCATACCAGACTGAAACGACAAGAAACCGCTCAACGTTTCCGACTACTCCAACACTTACTATACAAACTCTCTAAGCTTCCAGTTAATTACAAAATACTTATATAGATGACTAAAATAAGACGTATTTGGGCTTACGGAATTGAGCTTTGCGGCTCCACTAAGCCATCGAATTCCTCTCTTATCTAATCCTTATAATCCGAAATCCTTCGGAAAATCCTTTATGCTCCTTACTTTGTCACTAATAAAATAATCCGTAATGACCTTAATGTTCCTTATGTTTCCGATTTGGCCCAATCCAGATACCAATCCTTCCATAATAAACTTCAGAATCATCCTAATCCTCCCGTCTCTAACTATGCTTACTCTTCTAACCCTGATAACACTCCGAGGCGTCTGAAAAGAAGATGGCCTCGAGATCTCCTATTGTAAATACATTTTTTTTTAGAGTGCTACAAGTGGGTAGTTTCTCAACAAGTGATTTCATCTTATTATGTTCTATTATCAAATTTACTAAATGTATTTTATTTATTAATACAGTTGTAAATATCATAGATAAAAAAAAGAAAAGAAAATATAGATAACATTGCATATATTATATAATTATCATTTAATATATTTACATTATATTTTTTTTTATATATTATAAATAGTACGCCCTGATTGGTATATACGACAGGCCCTGATTATCATGTAGGCAACTAGCGCTATGCCTTAGTAAGTACGATACTCTTACATGAATCCCCTTTTAAGAGCCGTTTTCGAAGTGTCTGTTATCTTTTTCCCCTTCTTATAATTTCTAGATCAATAGTAATAGCTTGGCTCCTAGATCTTCTACCCTATCTTTAAGCAGCTCTAGTGATGATGTCAATTAGTGTTGCCCAAAATCGGTCTTGGTCTTGCACTTTGCAAGACCAAGACCAAGATCGCCTAACTGTTGCAAGACCAAGACCAGGACTG